CTAGGGCTATGGCATCCTTCTGAAAGGGACCTTCACCTCATTTACCTTAAGATGGGAGTCCTTCAGTGCACTTGACACATGTAACCACCGTTTATCCCTATCTTCGATCCTTGTGGCCACAGAAAACACCATGGTGGTAGCTTACCATATTTGACATAATAAGCTCCCACAGCGATATTTGCTAATATATATAATCCCAATAAACCCCCCTTCCAATTGATCAATGAATATCAAAACTTATTTGTTCGTGTATAATACTCACTCGTGTATAATACGCATCTTTAATTATTTGCAGTTAAAACCTGGAAAAAATATATTTCTCATGTATGATGCGCACAGACTTTTCTGAAGTGTCATTTCAGGCTCTCAGTATATATGACTGTCATGATCCATCATCAGAAATAGAATATCAACAAATCAGTTTTGAATTACGCATATTAACCCTTTTGTTACACTATTTAAGTGTTCATTGTATATCTGGACTTATGTTGTAATCTATTTTATAATTTCTATTCAATATTTCATTCAATAATGTTTACATTTATTTTGGCAAAATCGTGTGTCCCTCCAATACTTACAACTTCCTTTTACCCAATTCTATAGGGCCCGCTTCACCACATACTGCAACAGCGTCAATTCATATTATTCAATGCAACAATGATCATATTTTCTTCTGTTTAATTTTTAATGAATCTACACAAAGATAAGCATGTCATGGTAAACTTTCATCAAGAAAATATCTCAAAATGTGAATTTCCAGTGGTGTAGTTTTCCTGTGTTTACATCACATTCTGTTATGGAAGACATGAGGAGAGGTAGGGTAAGTTTGAAGTATAAATCTATATTGTTGTGCACCTCACAGTCTCAGTTTTATTAGCATGTTTGTATAGTTCTACAAAACAATATTTGAAGTGCCAGTCTGTTCTGATTTCTGATTGTTTAAAAACGAGCAAAAAATCTGGTCATGTGATATGCAAATTAGCCTGTGGCAGTGGTGTTATGCAAAGTTAAGTTACAAATGAGTAGCTGAAACAAAGAAATGGTAATAAAGTGGTAATATATCATCTTTATTGCTGAAAAATAAAAGTAAGTGGTATAAGATAATTTTTGAAAATCACAAAGACAAAGTGCATGTTTTATATTTTATTTTTCAACTTTACCTGCTGATTACTGGTACTTCCTGTTTGGAACAATGGCGCTGACTAACTTTTCTACTCTTCGTTAATGTGGAGCTACTGTAGCACAAATACGTAGATATGTAAGTTAATACGTGAAAGCATTCACATAGTATTATTTGTAAGAGACATATATCTAAAGGGTAAAATACTGATAGCAATCATTTTCTGCCTTCGCCTAACCACAAATCTTTCAATTCTGTTTTTTTTTCAACCAAAATAATAAATAAATAAGCGCCCCCTATTTCTAATTTTGAGAGTGCCCTAGGCACTAATTACGTTAAATACGGTTCATCCAGATACAAGGGGGAACCAAGTTGATAGATTGGACAAGTGATACTAAACATTTATTTGCCATATCAGCTAGACAAGTGAAGCTAGTCGCATAAAGTTCAACATTATGGCAGACAGCTATTCCCTTTGGGGAAGGAATGTGACAACAGAATGGTCTCGCCACATGCAGGTATCCCAATGGATAACAATGGTGTAGGACATACCTCATGTGGGCCGGTTTTCCACATGTCTTAACAACAAGCTCGCAGTGTATGGCAGCCTTGTGCTGGAGCCCCAAGCTTTTCAAGCAGAGGCGTTGTCCAAGGATTGGACAGTGATATTGGTGTATGCCAACACACCTTGGCCTCTCAAAGACAGTGTCCTGTGGAAAATAGAGGACACAGACTGCACAAATGGCCAACCCAGCTGTGGTTCCCCAGACCCCTCAGACTTCCGGAACACTGAGGTCTCATACACTAACCCAGATCAGATGTCATTTATGGAAGTCAACACAGTCTCCATCTTATCGAGCGTAAGATGCAGGCTTCCGGTTACTCCAAATCTTCCTCAGCATCGGTGGTAAGATCTGCCATCCATGACAACAGATGGGACTTCTGCCAGTTCTGAGTTGCGCCATTAAACAATATACAAACTACGTGTCAGAGATGGGACCATTACCTCTGGTATATTCTGGCAGTGATGTTATACAGGTTTATGATTCTTAGGAATTATTGTGGGGAATACATATTAATAAAGGCAGTTCTTTTCTGTACACTGTTTGGTTAACTTTTCTGATTTCAACACACAGATGAATACAGTGGTTCAACTTGTAAAACAGATGGAACAGGTACTTGTGTAACAGGTACAACTGGTAGAACTGGCACATGCTTGAACAACATGAACATGTACAAGCTGGAAATGAAAGCAAATACACGCTCTGTACATTCCTGAGTTACGTAAACATTTCTATATAGTGGCACAAATACATTTTTAATTGCCATAGCATGTATTGTACACATTGTGGCCACATGATGCATTTTCTGGATTCTAACATCAATATTTCTACCCAATTTCCACAGAATTACGGCTTTCAAGTTTTGCCCTTGCCCTTTTATCATCACATGGACTTAAATATGAAGCCCTCTCCGTCACAGTAATCCCACCCACCTCCCCAATAATCTGCATCCAGGTTGCTGATGTTGGAAAGGCGTCAGGTTTTCCTTATGCGCATGTGGCTTGGGAACCATGATTTTAACAGTTGCACAACTAATAACTGATAGTAGACAGTGAAGAGGACTTCTGCTGAAAATCTGAAGGTTTTTCATAGTGTGATGACAGCCGAAATATAGGATTTCCAACAATTATGTAATGGAAGTTATTAATTCCTTGAATTATTAACAATAACTATTGTTTGTAATTTGGCGACGAAACTCTTGGAAATAATGGAGAATTCTACACTGAAACAATGTTCGCAAACTTACTTCTCTCAGTTGAAAGACTTCCTGCCATTCACGATCACAGGAGGTGAATTTGAAATTAAGGGGCCTTTTTCCAAATTCAGTTTGGCAGTGGGCAAAACGTTGTTTTACTTTCAATTGACCTTCTTGAAATTATCATAATATATAAAATGTCCATATTTTTTTCTATTGTTTCTGAATTTGCCTTTGAGACTGACTGTCAATTTTACACATTTTGTCTTTTGCTTTGTTGGCCTGTTGTCCAGTCGTTAACTTTGTTAATGTTTCCTTACCCTTTTTACCATGAATCTGATGTTCACTTTTGATTTATTTGCCGTCCATGTCAGGGTTGAAGAATAGGAACGTTTTTGTACAGTGTTCCCTCGTTATTGCGCCCTTCAATATGGCGCTAACTCGTTTATATCGCACGGTAAAGCATAGCTCCCAAAATTTACAAACATTTTCAATAAACTCAAGTTTTCCAATGACACGATGTTTTCCCCCATCTCAGAAAACTTTATCAGCTGATCACCGCGATCATGTAACACAGGAAATACCAGTCAACAAATCCGAACTGAAGTACGCAATTTAATCCTATTGTTATAATATCTGGTAATAAAAAAAATTGTTCATTGTTTATCTGGACTATTGTTTGCAATATTTATTTGTAATTATATTCAAAATTTAATTCAATAATTTTAATAATGTTCACAATTTTGGCGAAATCGTATGCGAAGTGATCGGTAGATCCGCAACTCACCGTTATTAGTAGAAACCACAGTCAGATTACTGCTATTGATGCCTTGAAACTAACTTTAGTTGCAAGAGAATGGATACACATATCATAAATGCCATACCATGACTTGCTAAAAGTCATATTTTAGGCAGTTTGACTATTAAATGTCAACGTTCGGGAAGTCCCTACGGTGTCTGGTCAAAATCGTTCCATACGTCAAAAAATATCCTGCATACAATCTGTACCAAAGTGCTACGCTTGTGGTTCTTATAATTTTAAGTATATATGGTGGAAGCTGCAACTAAAATAATTGGAATATTGGAATATATTATTCCTGATAAGATAATAATTTCAGATTCAATTTTTTCCGACCATTGCGTAAAATTTCTTTAAAGTGTTATCACTCGGTATGTTTTAACTAAATCACCAGTAGATTGGGAGGAAACGTGTGCACAGCTGATTACTATTTCCGGCTTAGTTTACGAGAAAATACACATGGTAATCTTAATCTCTGCATATAAAACAATGCCTTTGAGAGCAGGAAATACATTTTAAATGGTAAATCATCATGTCAAGTAATGTTTTAAATCAAATTTCATACTTTTATTGACCAAGTTTATATCAAGTTCGAAACCCAGCATCTGGAATTAATGTTTTAGAAAGTTTGGTCCTGTGCCATGGACAGAAGGATAACCTTTTGCATATAACAAGAATGGATAAATGTGTTCATGAGTTCGAAAATATCAAAAATTGTTTCTTCTGCAAAACTATTGATAATCTGCAGAGCCCTCCTATTTTAATCTTTAGAACTACCGACTCTGAGGGCTAGTGAATAGAGCATCTGCCCGGGGGAGCAGAAGGTCTGAGGTTTGATCCCCGGCCATGTGATACCAAAAGATGTTAAAAGATGGTACCTGTATTTACTCTGAAGCGATCTGTGACAAGGACTGGTCGGCTCAGTCAGTATACTGTGTGGTATTCATGTTAAACTGCAGCATGGTATCTCAGTGGGCTAGCACTATAACATCGGCATTAGTTCGATAGCAGCCCCACACACCCACACATTGCTTAGGCCTTAGTTTTACTGCATAAGACAGCATTAGGTATCAAATATGAATATAGATAGAAATTGCTGTGGTTAGCTGTAATTTGGTAAAGTTAATATGGTTCATGATTTCTGGTGGATAAGGTAGGGATTGGGCTGCTCCTGTTTTTGTGGGTACATTAAATTTACTTTACTGTGAAACAGGTTTTCGTTGATACTTTCAGAATTCAGGGTATTGTCTGTCCACTTTACGGAAGTTAACAAAGCACATGATGAAATTTTAAATGAAGTGACATGTTCTTTGCTATTTCCAGGTAACAATATCCGACAACGATGCCCGTTCTCCGCTCTCATCCAAGACCCGTGTTGTCATCAAGGTGCTGGATGAGAATGATAATCGACCACAGTTTGCTGACAAGGCTCCAAATATAAAGGTTCTTGAATGTTTGAGAGAAGACAGTGACATTGATGTGTATCGTGTGGTGGCCAAGGACCACGATGAGGGACAGAATGCTTATCTTACGTATACAATCAAGTCCCAACGTGGGAATGGACAGACCCAGTTCAGAGTGGATTCCGTTACTGGGGTTGTATACTCCACCAAGGATCTTGTTCAAGGAAGGAAGTATGAGCTTCAGGTAATTTTACGATTTATGCCTTGGTCTTCAGAATAGAATTTGTGTGTTTACTTGATTGTTCAGTGTACTATACGTGTGTCATTATCAAAACGTGGGACATTATTAAACTTGAAAACACCAACTTATATTGATGTAACATGAAACATCTAAACGTAACAAATTGTTGGGACATTTCTGGTGTCCCCTGCCGTGATATTGCTGGAATATTGCTAAAAGCGGCGTAAAACCATACTCACTCACTCACCAAATTGTTGGGTAAATTATGCAAACACAAAGAAACATGATTTTGACATATTTTAATTGGATAGGAGCAACAGAAGAAAGTCAGTCCTTGGTGTAACCATTATAGTTATCCTATCTTTTCAGCCTGGTTTATCACTTTTGGTGAGAAATAAAAACAAATATTGATAATATTCTCCTCTGTGTCCCACACATAACAAAACGATAAATTTTCAATATTATTTTTTTGATTAATGTTCTTTGCACTGAAAGGGCCAGTATGTGGAAGGTTCTGGGTGTTTTTAATTACCAAGTTTCATGTCACACCTTTACTTCATGCACGATTCAATTCTCAAACCAAAAACAACTGAGCTCCTCACAGCATTGCCGACAATCCAACCTCTCCGTTAAGTAACTTGATTCGATCATCAGCCTGTATCTCTGCCACATTGTCACGCCCATTTAAGATATTGCATATGTTTTACATTTGTAGTTGACGAGTCTACAGATTTAGATAAACTGACATAGAGAAAATATCCTAAAACGTGAAAAACTATTTCATTTTTATATTCATCCTTTGTTTACATTGGTTGTTTACATTGGTCCATGTACTGTCATCAAAGCTCTGCGGAGAGCTAGCAATACAGTCTCTTGGATGTGTAAAACTATGTTCTCATGCAACTGACTGTCACAGTTGTAGTAGAATATCTATATAATTATGAAAAACAATATGTTAAGCGCACCAAAAGGCCTCTCTGTTCATATAAATGATCAATATTTAGTTAATGATTAACAATCTCTATGATCTATATCGATAGCCAGCCCTTATGCCAAGTTACTTCATTGCACCATCGAAGCATACTGGTTTGCTTTAACTTCAGTTTTCCAGCACGATGGACTAGGAGATCACCCTGTTCTCAAACACACTCTTGAGATGTTTCTTATTGGAGGATGTCAAAACTCCATGCTTATTCCCAAATAGGACCTCGCGGTCATTTGTCTGAACTTTTGGAGGATCTATTTAAACTTCTAACATCTGCTACTTTGAAACAAAAAGTCAACTAAGCAGATTTCGTAATAGCCATGGCCATGGCATTCATATTAACCAGGGCCATAGCAGCCTGAGTCTCTGAACTTCCTGCTCTCGTCTTTTCCAGTCTCACACATGCAGAAGATTGAAGTTCAATTACTATCAGTTTCTGTTTTGAGTATGTCAGGATTCCACACACTTTCCCCTAATGGATAATTTTACTTGGTTTATCGGTACTCTCAGAGGTGATGGTGAAAAATCTGAAGATATTATTGTGTAATGACCGTGAAAATACAGGATTTCTGATGTTATCTGTTGGAGGAAAAATTGGGACACAATCCTGGCATGATGAGCATGTGCAATATCATCTTGAAAGATGAAACGTTGACGAACAGGTTGTGCAAATGGCACCACGAGTAGTGCAATGATGTGGTCCAGATAGCATTGACCTGTGACTCTAGACAATGGAGCGCCGTTCGGCCAGTCAGTGTGATACCACCCTATATTCTTGCTGTACAATGTTAACGTCCACAAAACGCTCATGAGGAGGTCTCCAAACTCGATTCCTTCGGTCATGGAAATCGTGAATGGACCTCAATTCATCAGAAAACATGACATTAGCCCAATGTCTATTATCCCATTACTGAAATTTTCTACACCAAATGACATGCAGTAAGTTGTGGGATGACACATTACGTTGTGCATGGAAATGCCATCTGTGCAGATGATTTCGCACCATCTGGACATGTACTCGTACACCAGTTGGCTGTTGCAACCGGTCCCTTATCTGAGTGGCAGATTGCAACCAATTTCTTAATGCCATCATTCTGATTAATGAGTCTGGGCATTTGCCATCCAGAGTGGTGTTGATCATCGATGTTATGTGTTTGTTGGTATTCGGGGCCACAAGCTGCTGATGACAGATTGAGAAACATGCAGCATTTGGGCAACAATATGCTAATGTGTGTCCACCTTCAACATGTCTATGGCACTTAAACATTCAGCATGTTGCAAACGTTGCATGATCACTTGCTGTTGGTGCCTTTATGATTAGATGTGTCTAAAGTGTCTTTTTTTGTTCCAAGAGGACAATATGAGTATGCTCCCAACTGAGTCTGGGTGACAATGATAAATCTTACCACTCCTTGCACGTGCTGTCTGAGGTCACGTGCTTCATGACTCACAATGTTGTGTTTGGGAGCCTGATTTCTTTAAAAATGTTCTTGCCACTTTGATCAGACTGTTTGCCTGGGTAAGCAGATGATTTTTAACAGTTCCACAGTGGATACAAATGACTGGAAGTGATGTCGGTACAGGATATGTATTCAACTGGATGTGACGTCATCAGAATCATAATTAAATCACCATAAGAAACAGAAGTGACGTCAACATGACCACAAGGGGCATCATACAGACAGGAAGCGATATCACTGAAACTGGATATGACATCTTATTATATACTTCAGTATGAAAGACTTGTCAATCGAGACTGTTCGTTTTGCAAAGTGCCATAATGCCTGCGAATCCTTTACCTCTATTACATCATAGCCATAAATCCTGTATTTTTCCTGCAGACACACTATAACTTCAGATTTTCAACAGAAGTCCTCTTCACTGTCAACTACATACAACTACTTGTTCCCCTAATAGTACATGTAGCCCTTCAGCTCTTAGGTGTAAAACGGTGGTGAAAATGTCACTTCTTTGCTGTGTGTGCTAGAGTCAACACCAGTTTTTTTTTTTGTCGTTCTAGCACCTGGTATAAGATAGTCACACTGTTTATTAATTTCTTCAAAAATATTATTATTATGATCTGGCTGGATACGTAAGTATACTGGGGTTGTTTTTTGTGTGTATCTCTTACTATGGAGTCCTCCACTTTCCGCTGACATGTCAGAAGTGTGGCCAGTTCATGCCTACTGGAGACCCAAGTCCTTCTTCATGAAGCTAGATGCCTCTAGTCAAGGCGAAGCGCAAGGAGGCAGAAAGTCGACTCTATCTTATCAGCCACTAAGGAGACGATCTACGCCTTCGACCCCTTCAACACCCAAACCAGCTCCAGCCTCGGGATTTGAGATCAGCGCTCTGGAGAGGCTCAGAAGTCATCCCCCGCCAAGAGGCAAGACGGGGTTAAGCAGTTGTCAAAGCCTTAGTCATCAACGAAGTCCAGCTCGCCCAGATCACGACTTCTAGACGATCACCAGGGTAGTGGCAAGAACGCCTTACCCCCGCAGAGCTGACCGGCCAAGCTGCTGAAGCAAACCATACGGTTCCCACACGGACCGTTACACCCAGACACTCTGCCAGCGCGTCGGCACCGAGTCATGGCACCGGAGTCGGAGAGGCCCCCGATCAACCGGCCACATCATCTCCGCGGGAGTATGGACCAGAGTTGTCCTTTGTGGATATGATAGATGCTATAAATTACTACATGCTGACCACACAGCCATAGACTGAACAGTAGCCTTCTCCGGAAATGCCTGAGTACGCTGGAAGCCATGGTCCGTCATCCCATATCCAACATACTTTACAGTGGCCAGGTTACACCTCCAGGATCCTAGACCATATGAATGATACCATGTAGAAGCTCTGTCACGATGATCGGCTTCCCCTCCCAACTATGAGGAAGAAGTTATATCAGATGCATGCATCGCCGAGTCACAGCCACTGGAGTTCAGCAAGCTGGTAAAGAATCCTAACACCAAACTCGCGCTCCCGGCCAGCTTAGTTAAGGATTTAACTACGGTCAATAAGATCTCCATGGACATTGACATGTATCTCAATTGGTTCATCGCCAGAATCATCGCGATTGTCCGCATGCAGGAGGATATGTTATCTACGCAGGTCTGGACTGCCTCCCAGCTCCTATGGCTTCAGCGTCAACAACTCCTGTCTCAAGTCAGATCAAGTGCTGTCTCAAAGCATGCTAAGCAGACGGTTATGTCACAGCCAGTCACATAATCGACAATCTTTAACAACAAGCTGGGCACAATCCAAGACGAAGTCAGACAGGACACGACAGAGAGACTTCAAGGGTCTATGATCAACCTGGCAGTCAAGGCACATGGATTGCAGTACACACCTAAACGAGCACGAGAACCAGCCAGGGATTCCTCTTTCCATGTACGACCGCAAAAGAGGTATATCTCATCAGGAAAAAAATCCTACCAGGCATCTCGGCGTTACGACAAGCTATCGTCAGATTCTTTTCGGAGCTAAGCCTCCAAAAGCCGCGGATCTGACCATTGATCTCTCAAGTCTGGAGATCGCGGGGATAGAAGATGACTTGTTTCTCCCCCCCTTCGAGCGTCTCAGAGCCTAACGAACTGGGTTTGTCTTCAGATAACATTATGTCATTCAACATAACGCTGTCTCAGGGTCCAGTGGGAGGGCGCCTTTAGTCATACGCCGAAAATTGGACACACATTACGGGTACAAGCTTCATTTTCTCAAGTGCCCTCGACTTATATCCCATCCAGAGGGACGCAGGTTACACCTGAAGGGTGCCTAAGTGGATGCAGCCGACCTTGCCATCAAGACCCGTCTCACCAAACAGGCCATTCGGAGATTACAGGATACCAACAAAACTAGGGGGTTCCACTCCCCGGTGTTTTTAGTACCGGAAAAGAACTCCACAGAGATGAGAATGATCTCAACAAGAAGTACTTGGTCCCGCCTCCAAGATTTCATATGGAATCAGTCAGGAAACCGAGTCACATCGGGGCCAGGTTTCTTCTACGTACGGACCAGTTCAACAAGTCCATTACAAGACTTACAGAGGCTGATTACAATTACGCCCATTACATAATTGGATCAACTCCCTACAATCTCAGACCCTGGATACATGGGTACTCAATCCTCTCCACAAAGATCTAATCTGATGGACTCAACGAGATCATGTTATGACGGGGATTCCGCTCATCCTACCACCTCCCGGACACCACCTGCTTACAGACGCCTTGGATTCAGGCTGGGAAGCTCACATGGACGACCTCAAAGTTCGGGGTTTATGGACCGAGATGGAAGCAACTCTACGCATGAACTGCAGAGAGATGAAAGCAATCTATTGTGCTCTCCAGACATGGAAAGAATGCCTTATCAAATCATCCGTCCTAATTGCCACAGACAACACGTGGTGGCCTACATTCAGAAGCAAACCGGAACCAAGTCCAGTTCGCTGATGATGGAAACTACTCAGCTGTTTGCCTTGGCCGAATCATTCAGCTGCCAGATGGAAGCGATGGCAAACTGAACATACTAACAGACAGATTATCCTGGAGAGGGAGATTGTACCCACGGAGTGGACTCTTCACCCAGATGTTTTTACCTGGATAACCTCCGTTTGAGACACCCCACATCTGGACCTCTTCTTGAACTGTCTCAAGCATCAACTTCCGGTTTACGTCAGCCTAGTCCCAGATCCGAGAACTCTCCAGATTGATGCACTATCCATGGATTGGACATGACTGTTTGCCTATGTGTTCCCTCCATGGTCTCTCCAAGACAAGGGTCATACAGAAGTTGGAAGGGACAGATTGTAAATTCATCCTCATTGCTCCAACTTGGCCAAGCAGGACATGGTATCCCAGACTACTATCACTCCTGATGGACGAGGCACTCACTCTTCCACTTCGCAAAGATCTCCTGCGTCAGCCCAGGTTGAACCTATTTTACTCCAATATTCCCAGCCTCCATCTCACCGCCTGGAAAATATCTCGCAGAGAATGCAGGCCTCAGGGTTCTCTCAAGCTGCCTTTTCTGCTGTCGTAAGATTATGGAGATCGTCATCCACCCAACTTTATGACAACAGATGCAACAAATTCGTCCAGTAGAGACACAGATGTGGTCTAACAAATGTCATAGAGGACATTCCCATGGTTGCGAATTTCTTCCTACCCCTACGACAGGATAATAACTTCCGACATGGAACCATTGAAGGAAAAAGATCCACCCTCCATTCCACTCTCCCGCTCGATGGATTAATGATTAGAACATATCATGCGAGCATTCAGCCTAGAGGATATTCGCATTCCCTGGATCTTCCCAAAATGGAATTCATCAGTCGTCCTGTCTGCTCTACTAGCACTCTTCTCCAAAAATCCCGTAAAGCAGCATTTTTACTAGTCAGGGCTACCGCAGCCAGGGACCTTGACTATTCCAGTCTCACTCATGCTCCCAACTTGACCTCCATCACCTTGCGGTCCCTACCGGAATTTATAGCCAAGAATCAGTCTACGGCTACTGGTCCATCGGATCACAGACATTACCGTATAGTGCGCACTTTTTTTCCAAAAAACACAGTTGTGTAGAAGGGGGTGTGCATTATACACGAATTAATGAGTTTTGATGTTTTTTCCCCCATGGAAAGACATTACCGTGAGCACGTAACACCGGAAATACCATGTCAACAAATCCATACTGAAGTTTGCAAATTATTCATGTAATTACACTGTCTGGCTATAAAAAGTGTTCTTTGTATATCTGGACTTATGTTTGAAACTTATTTCATTAATTTATTCAAAATTCCTTTTAAAATTGTTTTAATTAATTTCGGCGAAATCGTGTGTGAAGCGATCGGAAGATCGCACAACTCACCGTTATTAACAGCAACCACGGTCAGATTACCACTATTGACGCCTTGAAACAAACTTTAGTTGACAGAGAATGGATACATATATCATAAATGCCATACTTTGATTCGCTAAAAGTCATATTTGTTGGGGGGGGTTGGGATAGGATTGTATGTCAGCAGTTACAGAAGGTGAGTACAACTTTTACCTTGACTCTACTACTATGGCATGTAAGGAATTCAAGGGCTACCTGTATAAGAACAGCTGATTTACAGATCTACCGGAAGTGGCATCACAATCGGAAGAAATATGGACCGGAAGTGATGTCATAACCACAAGTGACATCATAAATGACGTCAGAAGTTCTAGAAATCTTCAAAACCAGTCCAAAAGAGGAATTGCCATCATTGAGAAGTGGCGTCACTCTCAGAATCTGAAACAAATGATGAGTTAGAATAGAACAAAAGACATCATTTCATGATTATCAGGAAATAATAAGGTACTTCAAGTGAAGTTATCGCATATTGACTGATATAATCATAAGACTATTTATTCGTGCATTATATGTTTGTTATATGCATCCTTAATTATGGGCAATTAAATTCAGGAAAAATATATCTGTCATACATAAACATTTCAGGCTGTCAGCATGACGCGAAATTTGACATCTTTCAATGTTCTTGTTGTTTTTTACCAAAATAATATTCTAATAAGAGCCCCTATTTCTAATTTTGAGATCACCCCAGGCGCTTATTATGTCAAATACGGTACCCGATTTCAAACCCTCTAAGAGAGATTCTAAAGTAATTACCTCTTGAAAGGGTTTGAATCTGGTAATTTAGAAGAACTCATACAACAGTATTGGATTGCTGTCAACTACACAGGGAGTTAGTAGAGGCAGATCCAGCCTTATCCCTCTGGTATATTCTGGCTATGATGTAATAGAGGTAGAGGATTCGCAGGAATTATCAAACAATAGTTATCATTGTTAATAATTCTAAGAAAACTACCTCTATTACATCAGGAAGTACTCCCACCCACCTCCCTAATTCATCTGCCTCCAGTGGTGAGATCAGTGTTGCCGCTAACTTTTGAAACTGCCAGTCCTGGTGGACTGGTAACTCTAAAAATTACCAGTCCCCACTAAATTTTTATCAGTCCCTACTCTCAACAAATAAAAAAACGTGTGAAAATTTCCTTGTTTATATTCTTTCAACATCATGTTTAGTGCAGTGACGTCTGCTCTGAAGTAACTTAATTAGATCTACATGTCATTAACACAAATTCTGTCACAATTTTTGCTTCTTCTTTATTAAATATTTTGATACAAAGTCACAACAAATGGATTTGGCGGTCACATGAATTACCGGTCCAAGCCTAATATTTCCGTAAAAAACTGATAATTACAGGTAAATGGGAACACTGGAGATGTTTTGGAAAGAATTAACGTATTCCCCACCGTTTTGCACAGAAGAGCTGAAGAGCTAGCTACATGTTCTATTAGGGGAACAACTAGTTGTGTGAAATTGACAGTGAAGAGGACTTCTGTCGAAAATCTGAATATTTAGTTATAGTGTGTCTGCAGCCAAAATACAGGATTTATGGCTATGATGTAAAAGAGGTAGTTTTCTTGGAATTATAAACGATGATAACTATTGTTTGATTTTTGTTACTTGACCAGTGTGTATTCTGTTGCTTCCAACAGCGGTTGCGTAATTTTTAAGTATTTTTTTTCTTAAGTTGATTTTGTATACAATCATATCTAAATGTAAATGTTTTTGTGACCCTAAATATTGTTACTTTTGATTATATTTTTTTAAGATTTTGCAATCACGAAACTTCATTTTTAGTCGCAAATAAAAGGGGTGGTGATGAGAGAAACATGATATTTCACTTGGCATGTGAAATATCCTCTATATATCAACCTGAAGTTACGTCACACTTAATTGGCAGTGAAGTCGAACGTCTGTTGAAAATCTTAAGATCTTAAAGAATGAGGCAGCCATTCCACAGTAATAATGGCTGTGATGTATTATGGATCTTTTTAGACATAACAAAATTCAGGACATCATTTAGGACTGTCTGTTTCCAAAGCAATCCTTTATTTGCATTTTTTTTTTTTTACACACCTTATGAAGTTTAATTTTCTCCATTTCTGCATTATATTATATGTTAAGAGGTAGGCCCTGCACAAATGCAATTTTCACACATATTTCAGTATTTACTAAGAATAACTTGTCATCTAAAAGGTTAAAGATGTTTCTCTTTTTGAGATAACTTATTGGTTGATATCAAACAGTAAAACACACATATAAAAACCTTTGAGATACCACAAATTCTATTGTATCTATTTTGGTGATATGTATTTCTGTTGTTTATACATATTGCTAAAAAGCAACAAGAATGGGTCAAAGAGGGATTTATTTTTGTTAAATAAAAGTTGAGGAATAAGATATGAACAAAGTAGTGATCAGTAATGATGGATGGCATTCATTACTGAATCACTGGTAGTACATGAGTGCAACGGAAATATATATTGCTCTCTGCAGTGTTTCATTCAAGAAAATCCCACACAATAACATTTATAAGTGTATGCGCATAGAATTCATCATGAACCTACAATATAATATAGCAAGGATTCTACCTGTGTCTTTTTTTTACAGGTGAGAGTATCTGACAGTGGGACTCCTCGCAGAAAAGCAATCATCAAATTAAACATTGAAGTTGTGTCAAGACCTAAGATGTCTACCAACCCACCAACCTTCTTAAAGGCAAATTATGCTGTATCAGTGGCCGAAAATGACCTCGTCGGAGAACTTCTAGAAATGCTTTCTGGAGAAGATGAGGATGGTGATAGCATTTGGTACTCAATACGAGGTGAGTGTTCATTATTCCTGGAAAAATGTACTGCTTTCTGTATTAGCTAGTTTCACCTTTTGAATTATACCTGATTGTGAAATTGTTGAGGTGGTCCTCAATTATGTCATGGATCTTTGTCATATTCGTTGTGACCGGCACCAACCTATTCTCAAGTATTCAGAGGAAATTCAAACGATCATTCATAACAAAGTTAACAAACTTGAAAACGATATGGTGGATATGATGTGTGTGAAATCATTTCAAATCCAACATTTTCTCCAACAAGATTTTTAGAATGGTTTCATTTCAACGTAATCCCTTTTCACATTGGTACACCTTTGCCAACAATGTTGGAGGGATTTTATCCCAGTTTCATATGTCCTCTTGGCTGTCCAAAAAGTTCTCCACAGCCGCTATGTTGTCAGTGTTGAAGTCAAAATTTGTTCTGGCAAGAACTTTCTTCAAGTTTGAGAACAGATGGAAGTCTGATGGCACCAAATTAAAAGAATATGGTGGGTACTGAAGGCGTTCAAAACCACTCATGTGGATAGTAGCCATGGCAATTACTGATTTGTGCATTGAACTAGCAATATGACTCTCAATCATGTGACAGTTGGTGATCAAATTATTGTGGATTCCCTGGATCATTCCAGGTGTTGCTGTCATGACCGGCCTTCAAGGATGCGGATAGCCTTCAAGGCATTCCATGCCATGCTTAACTCTTTACGGGGAAATAGGAAGGGACATCCATTCCTAATCTTGTACTCATATCTTTATGGATGGCTTTTGGTGTTAAGCCTTTTTTAATCCCCTGAATTGAAAAAAACAGCATGTATCATTCAGCATGTCCGTCTGTCTGTTTGTCCTCCATCCATTTTCCATTTTCCATTTCGAGAGCAGACCTCCCAAACTGTTAACTATTTGTTATTGAAACTTTCTAGACAGATCAATCGAGTTGTGAAATGGTGCCTTTTGATGATTTGGTTTTTTTATTTTGTTTTTGTTTTATGATGTTTTCACGATGACAAATTGGACTTTACTGAAAATGAGTATAGTGCTTGTTTCTGGAGCAGAACTCCACAACCGGTAAAGATTTCCAGATGAAGCTTGCTATACAGATCACTCGAGTGGTGAACTGGTGATTTGGGATCTTTAAACGTACTGAACAGCTTTATGATTTTTTTTCACTGAACTGAAGGCATCCAATGGCTACAGCCCTCTTGGTATTTTTTTTCACCTGGGGCCATTTGACTCCTAAATGAAAATCTTTGCAGCCAACTGGTTTTATTAGTAGCCTTATTTATCAATGCATAATATCATGTGTTTTTCTTATATAAACCTCTTCTTGGTATGAATCATGTCCCATTTATATTCACCGTAACATTGAATGGTGTCTCTTAAATATCAACAGAAGTTCAAATAAAAGATACCGAGAAACTTGCATGTGGCATGTTGATTTATCGTCTACCGTTTCCGGGTCACGAGAGCATGCAAGGTCAAACGGATTAACTAATACGCGAATTATATCGTCAAAGTCACATTTTTATTTCATGTTAGTGGTGATTACTGATACTGTGTGTCAACTTATGTTTTTGCTGTATGTGATAGGCGAACTATTTCAAAATTTACTGTAATTGTTTCGTTACGAAAGATTATCAGCAGACTACCCCTGTCTGTGACAACACATCCGGTGACCTTTGCACTTATTGAAATAGTGCTGTCAGAATTCACAATCTATATTTTCGTTTTTCTCTCGTCATATTAATCGGAATATGACGAATAAAAAAATTCTTCGATTGAGAAGATCCTCAACTTTCGCCAAGTTATATTTATAAACGCAATGTATACTTTGTTGATATTAAAATAGCAATAAGTAATGCGGAGGTCGGGCGAAGCACGCCATGTTTGATTTTAGGATGTCTGCTAGCATCATGACATGGGTTGTTTATTTTTGTATATCGTAAATATTCAACCAAAACGCTTAAAATTAGGATTAGTGAATATTTATGAGTCATTATTTGTTTCCTGCAAATTGTATAACATGACACGTAAGATTAACCCGAATATTCGTATTTCTGCAACCGACATGATGACCTCGTAAATTAAGTTATTTTTCTGCTTAACGTTTAGATAATAAATTTACTGAAATGGTTCATAATTTACCATCGCGCTGTTATATGCCAATAAAAAAAACCGAATTTTTACTCAATAAAAATTAAGATATCGGAGATATGATTTTTGAAATCAATTTTCACAAATGTTATGATATTAAAAGGTTCCTAGCATGAAATGCAAACCACCTTCAATAACGCAATTCAGGTAAGTTCAAGAAAATTTGGCATAATGCGCTCTAAAGAGGGTGGGTGATTTCAAACAGTCAGTGTTTCACAAGACAAGGGCCAATTGAAGAAATATTTCGCACATTTATAACTGATAGAAAACTACACATTACTATATAAAAATATCCTGATGTTTTCAATCATACCAAGGTTAAGACCAAAGCGAACATAAAACTTGTAAATTTTCTTGAACTTAACTTAATTGCGTTTTAAGTTTTATGTTCGCTTTGGTCTTAACCTTGGTATGATTGAAAACACCGGGATATTTTTTTATATAGTATTGTGTAGTTTTCTATCAGGAATAAATGTGCAAAATATCTCTTCAATTGGCCCTTGTTTAATGAGGCTCCGACTTTTTGAAATCACCCACCCTCTTTAGAGCGCCTTATGCTAAAATTAATCCAGCAGGCAGGGGTAAGAAGTGTGGAAATAATTCAGCAGGCTAAAGGTTAAGCTGACACACCGTGATATAACTGGAATACCCAACCCAACTCACTCACTCTTTCACTCTCTCACTCTCTCACTCTCTCACTTGTTAAGTGGTTGTCCACATATTATACGGGTTACAGGGTAGCTTAGTTGTTAAAGCATTTGCTCGTCTTCGATTCCCAATGTGTGCAATGTTGTGTGAAGCCCATTTCAGGTGTCCCCGCCGTGATATTGCAGGGATATTGCTAAAAGCGGCATAAAACCATGCTCAATCACTCTCTCACATTTTGTACTGTTGTATGTGAGCTTCTGTGACATGACGTGACATGACATGACGTGTTAATAATCATCTTTAGTACACTCAGATCGATAGATAGGAGACCAATTGAATGTAAGGTTCTAAATGTTTCTAAATGTTTTCAGTTCTGTTACACAAGATATTTATTTGTGAAGTTTTTCAGCTAGACACAGATGCCAATGATTGTACAATAATGTTTTATTTGCATCAGCTTATGTTTATACAGATGGTGTGTTCTTCAGAAGTCTCTGCTGTGTCATACATATAATCACATCTGCTTGAAGTTAGTTGATATTTCCTCTGAGAAAATATCAGCAGCTTTGCTGAAACATTTTAATACATGGATGTGCATGGTTTCAGGTACATTGCCATAGTTACAGTAAGATTTTATCATTATCCATGGGAAGTGGTTAAGTCTTCCTCCTCAATTTAGCAGATGAGTTGTTTTTGCAGCAGTTAGTGTGGTGTGGTGAGTGCACTCAGGGTGTGGAGAAGTGCAAGAAGATAGTTTATGCTGGCAGGGATTTCTTGTGGAATAAACGCCACACCATCTGAAGAAAGGTTGGGATAGAACTTGCAGATGTGTGGTTGTAATTAGCTTTGATCTTATGAAGATGTAAGCAGAACAATTTGATCAGACATGTAGCCCTCCAGCAGCAAACAATCCAGCCGACTGGGAAAGGCACTTCATGTATACACTGATCAAGTGCTGGAAGTTCGAAGGAACTGTTTGGTATGACATTGGTAAGCAATGCTGTAATGAATACTAAATTGTCTATTCTCATCATGGTATTTAAGATGCAAATTATATAATTCAAAGGGTATTTGAAAAACCTTTAGGAAAGTACCAGCCAATTAAGTAAACTAAGTGAAAGGTCAATCATGCAAGTCCAGGATAAGTTTCCTGACAAATATTGAAGGATTTATTCAAAACTAAGTTGCCCTCAGGCGGGTCTTGATGTGGGATGACCTCCTTATAAGATCACGGTCACTAGAGGTCATGTTAATAAACATGGCTCAAATTTCAGGAAATATTAAATCAATTCACAATAAATCAGATATTTCTTCAATCAGTTGTAATAGTCAAAATAACTTTCTCATTACTTGCCATATGTCAATCAATAACACTTAATTCATTATCCTGATGAGGCCATTGACCTGTTTTATTTTAACCAGTGACATCTGGAAGTGGGTATCCATTTGACTGGGATATTTTTCCCAAACGAGATGGATGTCATTAATAACGAAGTGCTCATATATTTGTTAGGTAACTTGAGGCATTGGACTTTTTATCCCCCCGGCATATACTTAGGGGGGATATAGCGATCAGCCAGTCTGTCTGTCCGTCCGTAATCATTTCTTTTTCCGGGGCAGAATTCGAAAACCGTTCAGTGTATTTGATCGAAACTTGGCAAAGCTATCAGGCACATACTGTAGTGGTGCCTTTTGATATTTTGGGATTTTTCTAATTTTTATTTTTAAAATTTTTTATGGAATGAAGTTGGACATAGACTCAATTGGGGATGGGGTTCGTTCCCGGGGCAGAATTCGAAAACCATTCAGTGTATTTGATCGAAACTTGGCAAAGCTATCAGTCTCATACTGAAGTTGTGCCTTTTGCTATTTAGGAAGTTTATAAATTATTATTTTTTACGTTTCCATGGCAACAAGTTGGACTTAGGTTCTATAGGGTAGAGTTCCTTTCCGGAGCATAACTCAAAACCTATTCAAAACTTTCTAACAAAACTTTGCATGTCTATCAGACTCTTGCTAAACTGGTACCTTTTGCTATTTAGGAATTTTATAAATTTTTATTTTTTACGTTCCCATGGCAACAAGATGGATTTAAGTTTTCATATAGGGTGGGTTCACTTATGGAGTAAAACAAATAAACTGTTAAATATTTCCTTGCCAAAAATTGCATCTCTCTCTCTCTCTCTCTCTCTCTCTCTCTCTCTCTCTCTCTCTCTCTCTCTCTCTCTCTCTCTCTATATATATATATATATATATGTATAAAGCACATACTGAACTGGTGCCATTTGATATTAAGGAAGTTAATAAGTTTTAGAAATGTTTATTTTAGAATTTCCATTGCAGCTATTTTGAAATGGGCTAAAAGAAATGTTGGGTCACTTACCTGGTTTGGGACCATAACGTGTTAAAATGGGTGGGGGATATAGATGACTTTGTGACTGTACGCTTGTTTAGTCATTGTTTCTTGTAATTTGTCATTTGTTTGCATAAAAAAACCTACAGAATACAGAATAGCACATTTACTTGTGGTTACTTTACAGACAGCTGCGGGGGGGATATGTCATCTTTCTGATGACTCTTGTTTTTACAGCATTGGGCATATGATTTCCAAGACTGGAAGTTAATGTCATTAAACCATATATTTTGTGTAGCTTTTTGATTTTACTGTAGGCATGGGATTTTGTGTTTTAAAGTTGTACTGCATTTGGAATATTTTTCTCAACAAAATCTGGAAGTGATGTCTTTAAAAATGGAATTGTTAAGGTAGCAAGAACCATTGAACTTTCTGTAACAAAGTTGTAATGCATTGATTGTACAAGTGTTTTTTTTCCAAACCAGAAGTGATGCCATAAAAGCTGATAATTTGTAGAAAACATAATGGTTCAAGTTGCATGTTTTCATGCAAACACCTTTCTTGTGTTTTTTGTTTGTTTGTTGTTTAACGCCTTACTCAGCAATATTATAGCTATATAACGGTGGTCTGTAAATAATTGAGTGTAAATGGTGTGTACCTCCGAGCTTGCGAGGAGATTCACATGAAAGTTGGGGGCACGGGTGGCCCAGTCGTCTAAGGCACCGCGTTTTGCTGTGCAGAGTGGCGTCCCTTGGTCACGCCAGAGACTTATGATTGTGGGTTCGAATCCCGGTTCGCCCTGATTATGTTTCTAGGTTTGTCAGTACCATACCCGTGCTCGTGGGTTTCACCGAAGTGGTAAACGTCTGAGACCTGCATCACTTCGGGCTTTCCTCCCACATTAAGCTGACACGCCGCGATATAACTAAAATACTGTTAAAAGCGGCGTTAAACCCAACTCACTCAATCACTCACATGAAAGTTTAACGAGCGCTTTTAAATGGTTCACACTTTAATGAACCCATCCAAACTGATGTTCAATTCTTAATTGTTAAATGGTTTGCTGTTTGATGTAAATTAACCCATGAATGAATATTTCATTCTGAACAATAAAAGAAAATTCAAATAAATTCTTTCAGTGTAGTGTAAAAACTACCAAACATCATTTGCTCTCATTAACCCATGTAAAAGACAATTAGGCTTGTTGTAAGAGGCGACTACCTGGATTGGGTGGTCAGGATCGCTAATGTGGTTTGATGCATGTCATCGTATCCCAATTGCGTAGATCAATGCTCATTATGTGAATCACTGGATTGTCTGGTTCAGACTTGATTATTTAAAGGCCGATGTCATATGGCTGGAATATTGCTGAGTGCGGCGTTAAACAAGAAGTAAACAAAAACATACCATTCAGACATTTATGCATCTGGTCTTATAAAATTGACTTCAGGTTTGGGAAAACACACCCATGCTTATAAGATGTTAAAATGGGAACATTTGAATAGTTTCAAGCTGAGCTCCCCTTGGTTCCAGCTCAGTTTGAAACAAAATGCGTTAAAATTAGATCATATAAAAAATATTATCTCTATAACTTAGTGTGCAACAGTTTGTTGTCTTGGAAACAGAAAGAAATAACCTTTATAAAATGCACTGGGTGAGGGAAATAATTTTGTTAGCATTCTTAAATACCAAAAGGCACCAGGTTATTGCTTGACTGATATCTGTGCAAAATGTTTGGTCCAGAACCATCTTCAACTTATCCTCCAGAAACAAGGCTAACTCAGTTTAATCTGAGTCTAGTTTGTTGTCATGGAAACCAGAAATGTCCTAAATAGAAAAAAGGCAGCAGTTCATAAGCAGACTCATATGCAGGTTTTATATAACAAAACCAAGAAAAGTCTAATGTATTGAGTATGGAGAAATTTTAAGGACCGTCCGTCCGTCCTTCCGTCTGTCCTTCCGTCCGTCAGTAACATCGTTTCCAGAGCAGATCTTGAAAACCTTACCATATTTCTTCACCAAACTTGACACATAGAGAAGTCTAGTGGTGAACTGGTGCCTTTTGATAGTTTGGCATTTTTTTAATAAGTTATTTTTCGAGTTTCCATGGCAACGACTTTGACTTAGACTGAATAATGGCGGTAGTCCTCGTTTCCGGAGCAGATCTTGAAAACCGTACCATATTTCTTCATCAAACTTGGCACATAGATAGGTCTAGTGATGAACTGGTGGCTTTTGATAATTTGGGATTTTAAAATAAAATATTTTTCGAGTTTCCATGGCAACCAAACTTGGGACATAATGTCATCTCACAGTATTGAATACATTTCCTTTTTTTGTTGGTAAGTTCTGCATTGCTTGAGTGTATGTTCTTCCAAAAGTGTCATGGACACAGTTGTTGCATTCACTGACTAACTTCATGCAGAAACACAACTCATTACAAATACAACAGTGTAACTGATCTTAAACCTACTCAACTGTATAAACACTATATATTCTTGTCAACCATACTCTGTACTTCACTTGCTTGATAACGGTGTTAGAACCTACACCGAAACCATCGCTCCTAATTGTAATAAAGAAGTTGTTCGTCCATATGTCTCATCCTTACTCATTAAAATTCAGTTACATATTCTATCATAAACTGCAGATGGAAAAACAACACCAGCAACCACTTTTTAGTGCTGCAATTAGGCCATTTACAAAAAGGTCCATTGAGCATAGTTCACAGGAGCTAATGCATTGCACACAACCCGACATGTCATATTGGCGGGGGGATGTGAGTATTTCATGCTTGTTGTTTTTATTTGCAAAAACATACATATAGTAACACCTTATGTCAATCACTTTTTTTTATGTGACAAAGTTACCTTCATTTACTCTTCTCCATCCTTATTGAATACAATTTATATATTTCTAATATGTGTTTTCAGATGGTAACCAAGATAACAAGTTTGCAGTTCAGCCTCAGCATGGCACCCTGTTTGTGGCAGGTGGCCTTGATTGGGAAACTCAGCCAAGCTACAACCTTACAGTGTGTGCAACAGATGGGGTGTACAACTCATGTGTGCCTGTATGTCACATCTTTGCCTATTTGGAAGCTAAGACTAATTTTAGAATTTATATTTACGTTTTTGCTGTCAGGTTTTTTTCACTTTGTAGTCTTTTTCACAAAGCACAATGATAACAAATCTAATAAAATAACTTACTGTCAACTACAGAAACACAGTTCAGAATACCTCTAGTGGCACTTTGAAACGAACCCTGTTCTTGGTAGGAAATGAATACATTTAAATATATATATACTTTCTGGTGCATAAATGATCTTTCATGATTTTTAAGTGAAGGTGCATTTTGCTATCAAAAATTTCTTTTGATCTTTTTGCATGTCCTAGACAACAACCCAAACAGTGGGACAAGTAAACACTATTACCAAAATATTTACCGAAACACAGGAAAACAAGTTGCTTCAAACTGCAAATGTGGCTAGAGTACACCTAACAGGGGATTCATAAAACCACATATTCCCCTCGTGATACTTTTGTTATTTCGTCAGCACATACAACAAATCTTGAGGTTATAAAAGAAACTATTTCACAAATTGTTTTGAGAGCTCAAAACATTATTATTCCCCCCCCCCCCCAAGTTCGGCCATATGCAGCATTAGAAATTGGCACTAGTCCTGTAGTTCTTACCAAACTGCCCAATGGTAAAGGTATCCTAAGGACTAGTAGAAATTGGCCAATTTTAAGGGTTTTGCTATATGTTATCATTATAAGGACTAGGGGACAAAAACTGTTAGTTTCTAACCCTGCCCTCTGTCACATTTTGTTTCCGGAGCATAACTAAGAAACTGTTTAATATTTTATGACGAGAGAAAAATACAGCTATTTATATTTTTATTTAGAAACATGTTGGAGCAGAAGTCGGGGGTATTAGTAAACCCTGCTCACGTTTTGTCTGTTTTAAGATATTTCATCTAATTATGGGGTATTATTTGCAAAATAATTACCACATCCTCATCACTTGATAATGTTGAGCTACTGTACCATTGTATTCTGATTGTTCCTTTATCTGTAACTTGACTGATACAGGAATTTGAATTATGACAATATTCTCACCCAGACACAATGTAATATTTGTCAGATTTTTACATTACCGTTTCTCATAATGCTTTCTTAATTTATGTTGCAGGTCCATATCAGTATAATTAACAACAATGAATATGAACCAGAGTTCTCAGAAGCATTTTATACGGCTGAAATATCTGAGAATGTAGAAGTGAATACAAATGTTCTACAAGTATTTGCAACTGATAAGGATAAAGACAAGCGTCTCTTCTACACCATGTCTTCAGCAGGAAGTACTGTTAGCATGCAGAAATTCAAGATTCATCCAGAAAGTGGTAGGCATGCAAAGCTGTGATAAGCTTGATAAGAAGTTTCTGTTTCTGTTTGTTTACTGCCCAATTAGTCTATTGACAGGACAAGCTTTTTCATTATTCGAATATGTTTGTTGATCATTTCCATTATTCTGGAAGTCTCTGCAGTTTCATATACTGCACAAATACCAAACATGTTACCAGCTCTTCTCTGGAGAGAGAAGGTAACAATATTCATCATTACTTGTAATGTTATCAGATGAGTTGAACTAATATTGAATATGGTTTACTGTATGTAAAGGCATATTTTTCTTTTGAGTACAGATGTTTTGCTGTTGAAACATAAACTGTAGACACTGCAGCTAAATCAGTTCCATGTTAAGTCAAAATTTATATAACAATTGTCCATCATTCTTTCAGTTAAATAAATATTCAGAAGCATTTCATTGAGTACTACTTTTGTACACATAGTTGACAGTTATTTCCTAATTACTGTTATTTGTTCACTTGCTTATTTATTTACTTTTATTTTATTTTGTAGATTACACCTAAAATAAAATTTCTTATGCAATGTGTTACAGGAGTAATACAAGTAGCAGAATCTTTGGACCGCGAAGCTCTCTCACATCACACACTAACCATCATGGTGGGAGATGAAGGAACTCCATCCAAGAAGAGCTTTGCTAGGGTTAATATAGCAGTTCTTGACCACAATGATCATGCTCCTCAGTTCCTGTCCAAATCATTCGATGGTCGGGTATTTGAAACTGCAGCTATTGGAACATCGGTATTACAGGTGATAGCTGTGGACAATGACAAAGGAGAAAATGCAGAGATATGCTTTTCAATCATTTCAGGTAATCAAATTAGAGTTCAGTATCTCTCCTGATCTTAGACTCTGTCTTTCAAGCTGAAAATCCTGATTTCTTTGTGGTCTTAACAAATGTGAGGTAAGAACAAACAGTAAACCATAATAATCTGTGCTAATGACTGTTTGAAGTTTCAAAGTTTCGGGTTTTTAGTTCACCTGGATCTAAGCATAATGTCCCGTGTCTGTGTGTACATTATCTCTGGCACAGATATGGGGTAGAGTATCTGGCCTTTCATAGACAACATTATGAATCAGTTTTGTTATATTTTCAAAACATCTCACACGCTGCATTTCATCCTTCTTCTTCGATACTTGTCTGGAAACCATCCTAAAACCAGTTTCCAGCTTTGAAAAACACCTCACCCAAACACATCCATCCATAACCATGGTATTCATCACCATCAACTGTCTGTGCAAAGCATAATTCCTGTGTAGCATGAACACATCACTTGATCATTCTCTTATATCTGATGTGTGGAGAATTATGTTTGAAGAGAATTTTAGTCCCAACATGGATAACAAGACATGAAAAGCATGTGATCAGTGCAAAACAAAAAATTCTCTTTTCATATCCCGACCTAAAATGCTGTGATTGTTGTGGTCGCTGAACAGATTTCAAGAGATGCAACAGTTGAAAGACCTCGCTACCGTCGACTACACTTCCCTTGTTTCAGGATCTGACAAGTCTTACGAAGAATCACACACAGTCCTGTGTATTTCGACAGAGAATTGTTGCTCATCGCAAACATCGAATTGAGAGAAGCAACAAAGTTATTAATACTATCCGCCCAATCGAGAAAGAGAGCAGCGTTCACCACATCAATTGTTGAGTTCCAAAAAAAACAGAGGAGATTCAACGTAATCGTCGACACCTTGACATGGCTCACACCTTGGAGACTCCCTCCCTCATCACGACCGACACCCATTTGCGGTCTTCTACGCCTCCATTGCTGTCACCCTTATTGACAACATCGTCCCTGTCTCGGGTGACACCTGTTACGCAACCGTCTTTTCTGCCATCTACGTCGACAGCAGTGGCACGACCTGACACCTCCCAGGGTTCCCGGCACTTCCAACGCCGCTGCAGACACCACCAGTACCCTTGGTTTCCAAGAGCTTCTTCAATGCCTAGGTATCTCAGCTTTCCCTGGGCCCCTCCGGCACTTGCTATCCTCTACTCTACTTTGGCCTCAGCGGCGCCGCTGGCTCCCTTGGCTTCCACACCTCTCATCGGTCAAGATCATCAATACGGAGCAGCAAGGAGGAACTACGTCTTTTCGATCTTGTCGCCGCTCCTGTAAGACTCTCTCCCATACGTGGGGCGGTCGGAAGCCGAAGACCCGGGTTCGATTCCCGACATGGGTACAATGTGTGAAGCCCATTTCTGGTGTCCCCCGCCGTGATATTGCTGGAATATTGCTAAAAGCGGCATAAAACCATACTCACTCACTCACTCACTCACTCTCCCATACGTCGTCAGGATCGTGACTATAGTTCAGATTCCTAGGAGGGATCTTTTCAGACCAGTAGACATTTGGTTTCAACTTGCCGACTGGTTGGCTGATCTTCTGGCTTCTATTACTCCGTCTCTTGGCCCTGACGTGGATAAAATACCTTATTTGGCCCCTACCGACTACCACCTTACTTCGTACCTTACAATCATTCAGACTACGAAACTTAATTGCTTTTAACAGCCTTGGCTGCCAGATACAGCATCAACTTTCTTATTCTTCCCAAGACCGTTCCATCAACCCCTGTTGACTACAAGCTGATAATCGTGTTGCCTTCCTTCCTTCCTTCCTTCCTTCCTTCCTTCCTTCCTTCCTTCCTTCCTTGTCACCTTGATCTAAGAATGGGAGGATGGAAACGATCACATAACTGTATGCAGTATGGTGCAATCTTCTGGACCCACAGTTTTCCAGATTTCCACCTCATCTTATGGACATTGCTTTGACTTCCGACTAACCGGTCAAGTCGATGCCTAGGCAGCCTGATAGATCGTTCACTAACCCTCTCTTGCCTAAGCAGAGGCGCTGCAGAGTTTTGGTTTTGGCATTGAGGATTTTCCAATGACGGTCAGAAGCCTGCTGCAAGTCTAGGAAATGCTTTTTCCTGCCAGTCTCTCCCTTGTCACAGTCAGAGCTTTGAAAGCCTCCGGACCTTGACAGTGATTTATTATGGATCACATCTGAAGGTATGCCCACCGGCCATGACGTCTGATAAAGATGTATTAAGGAGTAATGCAGGATAAGTTAAAAATTTAGTAAAATCTAAATATTTTTTACATTTGTATACTTGTCCTGCTTTACAACGTGTAAGTGCCCTCCCTTTGCTATGCTGCCTCCCCACAAAGTTTCAGGGCCTAGATTTTAGAAACGATCTTAGCTTAGATAAATCTACACAACTTACGTTCAAAGATAAGATATCTTAAGGTTAAGATTTTCGCAACTGTCGTAAACCTGTCACGGATCGTTCAGAGCTCTGACAGAGAACTCATTTTTGTAAGAGATTGAAAAAGTGGGGTGTTTCCCAGTGACGTCATGGGGATTTCCAAGCCGCTAGCAATAACAACATGGAGAAGTGACACAGAATTCATGATCATATTGTTAGGTCACACTGTTTACACGCAACTGTTTGAGTGACATACCGTACAATCCTACATATATCCTACATGTAGACGTTTTATTCTTATGATAAAAAGATGCCATTACTACCCGAACACAAATAGCCTACATGTTCAATGCAAAGGCATTTTTCAAACTCACTAAATGTTATAATCAATAAGTGTTGTGTTACAACAAATGCCTCTGAAAGAAGTTAATCACTATTAGAATTGAAATAATGTGCCAAAAGATACTTCACTATTTTCCCTTCCAATGGTCCTCTCGCAAGCGCGCAGAACTTTATATAACCACATCACGTCAAGTCAAGGACGAAAGTAAGGGACGTTATTCTATATGACAATGACAAGACCTTTGATTGAACAGCAGGTGTTCAGCATTTAAGATGCGTGTTCAAGTATGATTCTACGTGATGTATACTGGGTCAGTTTGACAATGCTGCATGTTTTTGTGTGTTTATGTCCAAAGTCAAGTTTATAGAGAAAACGCCAACATTATACCTGGAAACACTCAAAACAAAAATTTTCAGGAAGCAGCGCACCCAAGATCGTGCCAGTTACAATGACAATGTAAGCTTGTTAAGTTTGTCTTGTTATTTATACATCCAATATATTTCACAAATAAACAAAGGACTCAAATACAATATAAATCTATTTCTATTTAGATGATGCTACTTTTTATGACATTTTAAACCTAATTGATTTTACAAATCGCTGTTGCAGTTGTTCAACAGACAATATTTAATCACTTCTTCTCCAATATAACAGATAGCTTACGTGTTGTTTTTAAAAGGAAACAAAATAAAGTTACTTTTTCTAGAAAAATATTTAATATATTCTTTATAGGAATATACTACACAAATATTTGATCACATGTATTTTTCCTTGTTAAATCAATAAATACTACACTGTATAGTTACATTACATTAGTTAAAACCGCTCGTCCCTCACCATTTCAGATGTAGAACCTGATGATAAACGCTTATGGTTTTGCACTTCATCACACATGTAGATTGATATAATTTTATAAAATGCGAAAATAAAGACTTAAGCATTGTCGCAAATGCGATCCAGAAAATATAACTGCGGAACTCTGCGCTTTATGAAAACTGTAACATTGGGCAAGGTATAGCCGGTCGAATATAAAGGGAAACCACTCTCAGTTAGAGTAAGAACGAAGATTAGCTCCCCCTGAGCTATCTGATAAGGTCACTGTCATTACTATAGCCTGCCGACACCTTCCGTTTTATCCTTCCTAAATTGTCAAATGGGTATGTTGTTTCACACTTCTTCAGCATGGACCCGGATAGAAATGTATTGTAAGCTATCGACTCCATAGTTATGTGGATCGCAGTCGGGATTAAGAATGTTTCTGACTTAAAATCTTTGATGTGTTCTTCGTGTTTTCGAAGTGTCAATTTGAATCACACTGTTTTACAAAATGAAATGTCAATGTTTGAGCGTAAAGCAGACTAAATGTTTGGCAAAATATCTATGGCAAAGTATGCCGCCATCTTGGATGAAGATAAAATAAACTTACAACAGGTATGGGGCTATCTTAGATTTACGACAAACTTAAGACATCTTATGGCTACGATAGTTTCGAAAATAGGCTACGATAGCGTACGATTTCCTTACGATAACTTTAAGAATAGTTTAGGGTTAGGATCCTTTTGAAAATCTAGGCCCAGATGTTGTGTTAAAAGCAGTTATATATTTTGATGTGACCTTATGACTTCCACAACACATTCTACTGGGAATTGGTTGCATGTACTCCATTCTTTCTTCAGAACTCAGGACACCACATTTCACGATTTTTTAACTTCGATTTTGGGTTGCAAAACGTAAACAAATATACAAGTTGATTTTGAGTTTATGCAACAATGACATTTCTTACCATCATTTATATGCTATCTCCAATTTTAACATTTGAATAACTTGCTCAAATCACAGGTATGTTCCTCATACTGGTTTTCTACCTATCAATTTACGCATGTCTCCATTGTTTGTATATATTTTCATTTACCACACTATCTGGAGCTACTTTATCCCAGTCCACAGGTACGGCGTAACTACCTTGTGTCCGGTACTGCATATTTAACATGGTCCGTTCGCATATATTATTCATTTTACATAACATTAGTACTAATATTATTATATAAATTGTAGGAAATAATTTACATTATACTTTTTATTTTTTATAAAACAATACTACCCACAGTGCTTTGGCTAATTGAGCCACAATGCATTTCGGCCAGCACTACTTTGTTATTCACCATATTGAAGTTGTTTTCAGGCATAACATATTTTGTTTACACACCCACCTCCCTTTGAGGATAGACCTGTGAAGATTCCGGGGTAGAATA